TTGGATCAGGTGCATGGCAAAGAGACAGTATGTACGAACACTATCCCATTATCCTTTTTAGGAGGTTGAAGATCTTTGTCATCCTAAGCCATGACCAGCTGTGCAGAGAGGGAGTCATTAAAAAATCCATGTGAAAAACTTATTTTAATAACACTTGTAGGTAGTTTTAATGCAAACCACTCACTTTTCTCTGAGCAGTATGAATGACAAAATACTTGCAGTGCTTGTGTCACAGTGTCCCTGATTAAAAGCCACCGGATCCCTGTAAAATTAGTTGGAAGTGCTTTCACTAAGCAAAAACGAAAATTTAGCTTTGTTTGGTTTAACCTTGGTCAGCAGCTACAACCATGCAGCCGCTTGCTCAATCCCCTCAGTAGTGATGGTGAGAAAATCAGAAGAGTTGCAGTGAGGAAAAACTCACAGGTTGAGATAAAGACAGTTAAATTAGTGAAGCAATAGCCACGCACACAGAAAAAGCAAAATAAGGAATTCATTCATTGCTTTGCATCCGCAGGCAGGTGTTCAGCCATCCCCAGGAAAGCAGTGCTCCATCATTTGTAACAGTTACTTGGGACAACAAACACCATCACCACAAACGTCCCCCACCTTCCTCCTTCTTCACCCCAGCTTCATATGCTGAGCATGACATCACATGGTATGGAATATCCCTTTGGCCAGTTGGGGTCAGCTGTCCTGACCGTGTCCTCTCTGAACTTCCTGTGCCCAGCCAGCCTGCTCACTGGCAGGGTGGTATGAGGAGCAGAGAAGGCCTTGACTGCTTAGCAACAACCAAAAATATTAGTGCACTATCATCACTGTTTCTCATCCCAAATCCCAAACATAGCACTACATCAGCTGCTAGCAAGAAGATTAACTCCATCCCAGCTGAAACCATAACAAGCTTGTAGATGAAATGAAAAATATCTAAAGTCTCCACTACAGGTTTTTATCAGTTATTTTGGAGATGAACCAGAGCAGAGTTTCTGGCATTGAGATTGTTCTCCATCCCTCTCTTCGGTTTTGCAATACCAGGGAAGAGGGTTTAGTTAAGGAAACATCTCTTCTTCATTCATTGCTTTGCATCCGCAGGCAGGTGTTCAGCCATCCCCAGGAAAGCAGTGCTCCATCATTTGTAACAGTTACTTGGGACAACAAACACCATCACCACAAACGTCCCCCACCTTCCTCCTTCTTCACCCCAGCTTCATATGCTGAGCATGACATCACATGGTATGGAATATCCCTTTGGCCAGTTGGGGTCAGCTGTCCTGACCGTGTCCTCTCTGAACTTCCTGTGCCCAGCCAGCCTGCTCACTGGCAGGGTGGTATGAGGAGCAGAGAAGGCCTTGACTGCTTAGCAACAACCAAAAATATTAGTGCACTATCATCACTGTTTCTCATCCCAAATCCCAAACATAGCACTACATCAGCTGCTAGCAAGAAGATTAACTCCATCCCAGCTGAAACCATAACAAGCTTGTAGATGAAATGAAAAATATCTAAAGTCTCCACTACAGGTTTTTATCAGTTATTTTGGAGATGAACCAGAGCAGAGTTTCTGGCATTGAGATTGTTCTCCATCCCTCTCTTCGGTTTTGCAATACCAGGGAAGAGGGTTTAGTTAAGGTAACATCTCTTCTGAGGTGTCAGTCATTAACAGCCTTTTCCTTGTGTTTGGGCGGTAGCAGATGGCTGCCTGTGATAGAGCTCATCGCCCAGAGGATGAGTAGATGGAGGCTGTCTGCCTTGTGCTTCTAGGAAACTGAGAGAAACCAGGAGTTAGGTGCAGGATGATGCAGTTCAGGAGAGGCCTGCTTTGAAGGTGCATCCTGGAGCAGCGATGTGGTGCATTAAGGCTGAGGCTCATGGGATTGAGGGTCTAGGCTTCCATTTTGGTGGGGCGTCTGCGGCCAAGCATGCAGCATGCAAAGATGCCAGCACCTCATGGACCAGCCTCCCTGGTCCTACACAGTGCTGGTGTCAGATGTGCTCAGCTGCAGGGGATGAAGGTTGTCGCATGTGGTGTGTATCCACCACCAAGCCCTTCGGGGCCCCTATAGTAAACCTCTATATCCTGTTGCGTGAATTCTGGTGTTCAATGCATAACTGAAAATAATCTATTTCCACAATGATAAGACTTGTTTTCCCATTCCTGAGAGTAGGTGGCTGCCTCCAGGACATCAGCCTTGTGCTTTTCTCATGTCATAGTTTGTGCAGTCTCTCAGTAATTTCATGAACATTTCTCCATGTATCAATCAGAATCTCAGTGCTGTCTTAAAGTCTAGGTTTTCTTTTTTAACTTTTTCTGTCTTGTAAGCATTTCGGTTGATAAATGGTTCCGTAGACCAGATGTGTATATGCTGTCACACTCTCAAATGCAGTCTCATCTGTTTGTGTTTTTGGTTTGATTAATTCTTATTGCTTATTAAGGCTCTTTCTGAATACAGGCAGCCCAGTTGGTCTGTAGGTGCCTCTGGGTCCTGCACTGGGTCACTGTTTTGGCAAGTGGTGAGGCTATACCAACCTGGCACAGCTGGCTTGTGGCTACCCAGAAGTCCATAGGAGCTGTCAGTCCAGTTTGAGGGTTTGTGACTCCTAGATGTGGCAAGAACTCCCTTTTCCAGTGTAACAGGGTTACGTTTGTTTTTCTTCATATCTAAATTAATTGCCTTGTCTTTCTGTCTGATGGCAAATTTCATGTTTCGTTTACTGTCAACTGTTTCATTCTCCAATATATGCCAGATTTCAGCATACAATAGATTTTCCTCATTATTTCAAAAGAAATGTTATCAATAAAAAGAAAATTAAAAATGTGTCACTATGATTTGGACAGAAAATAAATACACTGAAGCTAAGATTTCATCCCAAATAGACCCTGATAGTAAGAAATACTGGGGGGGGTGGAATTCACAAAGCTTCGGAGAATATGAAATAATGCTGTTTTTTTAAAAAATCAATTCTCCTTTAGCAAGTTTTTTCTTTTTTTCAGGGCTCTAGTGGAATTTCTTTTTGTGTGAGATTGTTCCTCATAATAATTTTGTCTTGTAATACGTCTTGATTACAGCTCATGCATTGGCAGTCAGACTGAATTTCTGAATCTTGTGACCCTCTGGACTTTAACCCCTTGGACTTCAGCTTCATTGGCTTCTAATATGTAATATTTACTGATTCCCAGAGCTGCCTTTGCATAGATGTTCAATTTACTCATTAATCTTGAGGGCAATTAGGCTTTCCTACTTGTTACCCTCCATTGGGTGAGATATCCTTAACCGCGTAGCAACATCTGAACCGAAGGAAGAGGTTGGCCCTGGCAGTACATAATGACAGCAGGTGACAAAATGTTCATAGCAGTTAATGGACGTGAATGTATACGTTGCATGCGCTGACCTAATCTCTTCTGGTTTTGTGTAAACTTATGCCAACAGATATCCTTCATAGTAAGGAAAAACGTCCATGAGGCATAACTTAATTTTTATATCATCTCAGATAACTTCATATTGTCTCTTACTGGTATATTCAGCACACCAATTACAAAAGCAAATAGACTATGCCTACCAAAACCATTAGCAATACCATTTAGCATACTCATTAGAAATGGCTTATTAGAATATGAATGTCTGTATTATTTTTTAAAGCATCTTTCTTTGCTTAGAATACCTACTACTAGTTTACTGCTGACAATTATCAAACAAATTGCCATATGTCAACTAATATGTAAATAGCCTACTGGGTTGTTATAATTCCAAATAAGTTTTAATATTTTCCCTTTGAACAGGAATACTGAATTCTAACGAGTTCTGGTTTGCAGTAAGGAGGGAGCTGACAACAGGATGAGGCTGTTGCAGGCGAGGCTGAGTTTGAGCAAATGCTGTAGTTGAGAGGTATTTTGATACCTGTGTAGAACCGAATTCTCCTAACTCCACATACCTTAAAACACTCTACATGTCTATTTCCAAACATTGCCGAGGTAGAGACTCACCCCGGTTTGAGCGGTTGACCCAGCGCTGCTTTCTGAGGGGCACCTTCCTAACATAAAATAGGTCAGTTCACTGGGTCAGAAATGTGATTACGAAGAAACTTTGCAAAGCAGCCAACGTCGTTACTCCAGCTATGCCCTGATACAGGGGCACCTCCAGGTTGCTCATGTACAGCAGTAAAAAGTTGATGGACTTCCCTGATATTCCAGACACCAGAGAGAGGGTTTCTTTTGATGCACTATGGTTGAGTGCTCCTTCCCCATTGTACTTTTATTCTGGTGCTTCTGTCTCATGTGATTTTATTATGAGCCATTTCAATGTACCTGCTTTTACAAGGTCAATTGTCTAACTCCTTTGGAAAGGCATTTTATTTATTCCTGGTTTTGTTATTCAAACATGTAGGCAGAAGGAATAAAAAGAATACATGAGTGGTTTAGGCAAAGATTTATGGCTTTGTTTTGTAGCACAGATGTTTGTGTAAGCATTGATGTTTTGGGGAGCTTGTGTTAGCATACCTGTTCTGAGGTTTCTCTGCCTCCGGGTCTGCATGATCTTAGAAAAGAAAGAGCACATTTACTCTTTGTGTGCCTTCTTTTCCCTGTGAACTTTGTAGCTCAGGCTTAACACTTCCGAAACTGGTGTGTCTTAAAAGCTAGTATTTCAGTGAACTGGAATTTATCCAGGCTGTAAAATCCACACAAAGGTGGTAGCAACTATTTCAGACTGTTGTTGCTGCTCAACGGTTGGTTAGCAGTTGTCCAGGTGTTATGTGTCATCTGCTCCTTCTGCAACCTTGTCCTCCCAAGTCACTCCCTGGCCCTGAGGATGAGCAGCAGGGTCTGCCGCAGGCAGGGAGCAGGCGAAGCACCTCCAGCACCTCCTCCAGCATCTCTGCAGCTTCCCCCTCCAGCCAGGAGAGTGATCAGTGGGGAAGAAAGGTTGCACTGAGCCTCAGACAGCTCAGACATGCCCCCACGCAGGCTCTCCTCCCGTTAACCCTGTGGCTCGTTTTGCTTCTGGCAGTGCTGCATGGACAGGTGTACCGGTTTTGCACCTCAGAGGGGACGTGGCTGCTGAAGGAGAATTCAACCCTGCCCTGGAGGAACCTGTCTGAGTGCGAGGCCTCTGACCAGGTAAGAGTTTCCCTCTCTTGCTGCTTCTGCTGCTGTTGTTTAGGACAAAACAGAAGACAAAAAAGTATAGTAATTGATGCCCATGTGTTTTTGTCCTGTCAAAGTAATCTTGACCAGCCTACCCTGGGTGCCTCACCTCAGTGAGCCTAATGGTAAGGGACATCAGGCCTCTCCCCTTCCACCAAGGGAATGTAGAGGGTAGACAAGAGCAGGTTTGAATGTACGTGAGAGAGCCAAGAGAAGTGAACCCAGGTAGTCCCAGCTGCCCTGCAGTGCAGGGGGCTCGGCTGCTGCCCACCCCAACCAGGGGAGTGACCGAAAGTTATTGCTTTGCCTTTTCTCCCGTTGGCACCTTGTTACAATAAAGTGACGGTTTGTTCTCTCTGTCTTGTTAGCAGCTATTAAGGTGATTAAGATGAACTAAACTGAAGGATATTTGCTTCTCACCTTTGGACAGGGGGCAGTCCCTGCTTTTTCTTTGTGTGTTTTTTTTTGTCTTTTTACCTTAATTTGCTGTGGGTGATGGAATTAGGCTTGTCAGTGTTATTTTCTTGCCCTAGTGCTTTATACTCTGCAGGGAGCTGAGACACCTGGCACCAAATGAAGGAGAGGGTAGGGATTTCCAGGGGATTTTTGTCAGCCACTGGCGTCAGCTAGTGCACCATGTGCATTCCCATGACACGTGATACCATTGCTGCTGTGAGCCTCCAAGGGTGATGCTTTTCCTCACGTAGATTGAGTGCGCTCTCTTCGTCCCAGGGTACTGGGAACTAGCACGTACCTAGCCAAAACTGTTCAAGTACATGAAATTCCCTCCAGAGGATCCGTGTCCTCTGGAGTTCCCGTTGCTTATTGCCTCGTTCCTCAGAAAGAATAAATGACAGCAGAGTGGAAGGAGATGGGAAAAGTGATAGTTTCTAATTTTCCAAATATGTTATATTTTACTTTATCCTTTAATTTGCAGCCTTATTCCTTGTCCCTTCTGTGTTCTTGGGTATGCCAGCAAAGCGTGTTATCTTAACCCCAAGTGTAAGCCTAGTCGGTTTGACTTTTCCTTGTATTGCCATTATGGTTTTTTCCAGAGCTGTGTTGAGTCATGACAAGGAGAGAGATACCTAATGGTAACACTTGATCATTTGTCACCTGCCTCCAAGTTTCCGTGAACTGATCTGAAACCTGCGTACATGGTGTTACTCCCTGAAATGTGAACAACTCTGTTTGGTTTCCCAGCTGATGTATATAGAGCCCTCTAATAACCTACTTTGTTCTCTGCATCTTGTACATGAGAACAAGAGGTTGTTTTGATAAGTCTGCTGTGTATTATGTTACAATTGTTGCTAAAACAAGATCCAAAGGTTTCGTGAGTGAATCGTTATAACGTTGTTTACTTTAAGTGTGCGAAGTGGTTTTGAGCTGTGTAGATGTTTTAAATTGTCAGCTCTCAATAGTTCGCTTGAGCTTTTATGCTGAAGAGATTTTTCTTTTCTCTTTGTAAGGCAGTTCTCATATCATTCCTTTAGAACATTAACATAGTAAATCCCTGATGAACAGCCTGTATGTTCACCTTAAATCCTTCTGCCTGTGCAAAGTACATCTGAATAGCTGTACTTATTTCTGAAGTACAAGGAATACATTCCTGAGTACAGCACAGGTCTCGGGAGTCAATTGCAGAATTAGCAGCTTGAAGAAGGGAAGTAAAATGCCTGAGTCTATTTAGACAAGGATACGTGCTTAGAAATGAACCAGAACAGAGAATGTGAGTATTCATCAGAGCCTGAGCAATAAGCCTGTGTTGCCTGTGACTTTTCAATATGAATCTTCTCCCTAAAGATTTTGGCCAATGCTTTCAAGCAAGGGTCTTGGTGTTCATGTCTTAAACAGTGAACATGAAGAGAGCCAGAGCCCAGGACTGTCAGGGGAGTGTGAACATCCCTGCTGCTCTGGTCCACATCAGGTCCCTCCCTCCCAGGCAGTACTGAAACACCTAGGTCACGAGATGGTGTTGGGCTATGGTTTGTTACCAGGAGGTCACGTAATTGAAGGAGGAGAGAGACTATTTGGGGGCAGAAAAGAATTTAGTTATATGAATGCAAGGCATGCTTTACCTCAGAGTCAACAAATGGAACCTGGCTTGTTATATTCCTAAGTCTAGATGTAGCCAAAGGACCCCCCCTCCACCTTGCTTTAAGTTTTCAAGTCTGAAAACATCAGCTTTGCCATTTTTACTGCCGGCTTGAGTTGTGCCTGTGCTTCCTGCCATCTGTTTAAGACTTGCTTGTGTGGTAATTTATGCCTCTCCAACTTTATTACAAAATAATGTCACATTATCTATTTTTTAGCCTGGCTGCAAAGCCCAACTGTTTGAGTGACTACCTGGGAGCAGCTGGGGAATTAAGATTAAATTTTTATTTCTTTAGAACATACAAAAAGTGGAGGACTGTTTTGATATGTGCATTTAAACTTGAAAGTAGGAGAATGACTTATGCTTATCATTAAGAAAAGTTAGAAAGCAGCTGAGAGAAAAGAACTGAAGCCCATGAGCTCTGTCTTTTCCCCCCTCCCTCCCTCTTTCTTTTTTTTTTTTTATATTTTTTTTTCTTTTCTCCTTTATATGCTCTCAGGATGCACCAGAAGAACAGCTCCTGAATTTGTCCATCATATACACCATTGGATATGCTCTTTCCTTCTCTGCCCTTGTAATAGCAACTGCCATTCTTCTTGGATTCAGGTAACTGGTGAAGCTCTGAAGAGAGTGGAGAAAAGGTGTTATGTTTTTTACTGTATGATAGTACCAGACTTTGACAGAAATGTTTCATTATTTTTTCCTCCTTTTTCCATCACCTTGTTATTTCTCTATCTTATGTCATTTCTGTGTTCCTTCCTACAACCATTTCTTCTCGAAATGCAAGTAAATTTCCTGAATCTTTGCAGTGTTACCAGTATGAATGTGTGGAACAGATGCTTTTATCAGTTGAAATATTTTGTTGTAACATTTTTTATTTCAATGAAATTTTCACTGGGAGAGATGGAAAAAGAGAGAGATTCCAGCATTCCCTCATGTTATCGCCTTGCAGATGGGGCACTAGTCTGGGGTGTGAGAGGACATTTAGGACAGAAGTTCTCGTGTTGCTTGGAATTACACAGTGCATAAAGCCCAGCTTGGCCTATGTCCCAGCCCTCACATCACAGTGTATTTCAATGCAAAAATGGATCTTTGATGCCATTTCTCTTTCTGGGGAACTTTCAGAAATTTTTATTTCTTTTGCAATATGGAAGAGAACCTAATTTTGAAACTTGAAAAGTTTCTGTGAAATAAATTGCTGTCCCCTGATCAGATTGGCATACTGGGTTCATCCAGGTATGCACTAACAAATTGTATGGAGTACATCAAAATTAAGAGATTACTGGTTGCACATGGCAATACTTCACTATGTGGGTTTGGTTAAAAAAAAGAAGAAAATTAAAAACTTCGTACTCCAACAGAGATGTCTTTTTTTCCCCTCTGTAAATGCAAGAGGTGTATTGATTCCAGCCAAGCTTTCATGCAGTTTGGGGATGCTGAGCACAGGAGACTGGTAGCTAGAAAATGCACAGATGTGATCCTGCTCTGTTGTGGGAAACAAGTCCCTCTGCTATGAAGTCCTGCTCCTTACTGCAGTATGTAGCCAGGTCCCATCATCCCTCTTATAGACTGATGAGGCTGCCTCCTAAAAGAGTATAATTTTCCATCTCCTGGTACTCTTATTTGAAATCAGGTCAGGTACCTTTGGTGCTCTGATGCTTAAGAAACTTTCTTCCCTGACTAAAGAATTATCATTGCCAGTTAATGATCATTTGCTGTGATGCCAGTACTCTCTGTTAACATGCCAGTCTCTCTCCTTTCATTCCTTCTAAGTGTTTATACCCTCTAAAAAGATCAGTCATGCCTCTTAGCTTCTAATTTCCAAAACTAAAGTAACCCAGGCCATCTAATATTGTGCCACAGCCTTTAGCATTCTATTATCCCTTCTCCTACCAGTGGAGAAGCATAGGCTAGTGATCTCAAAGAAGATTTAAAATGACTACAGAAATGCAGAGACATGCTCACCCTCTCTGAATGCCACGTGATAATTATGCACGTGTTGTACCTGTGCAACTTTGGGATTCATCTGACAAAACACCATATGGTCTTGAAGTCTCCAAATGTCTCCCAGGATAAGTGCTTCCTCCTTGTTTCAGCCAGCAATGACACTTTCTGAGTAACCTTAGCAGCCCAAATGTAAAGGTTATAGAGCGCAGCCATATACTTTTTGAAGGAAGGAAGGATGTGCATGTTTTTGTCAGGGAACAAAGAGAAAGTTTGTCACCAAGGACTAGTGGGAAAGAGGGAATTTTGATGCCTTGACTTTTGTAGAGAGATCCTTTAGCATTTTTTCCTTTAGCTGTGAAGCAGGGACTGGAGATGTGTACATGAATGTGTGCTTCTGATTATGAAAATGAGGTTTCAGAGATGTTAAAGGGGCTGAGAACCTTGTTGAAACCATGCCATCAAACCATTTTGTGCTTTCCTGTCTAAATTGTCTATCTGGAGATAAGTTGGTCCTGGATCTCATGAAATACATGAGACCTACCCCTACGCAGATTGCAGTTGTGAGATTCTGACTGGAACCTCCACTCATGGCCACTCCCCAGTAGCTGTGTAACCTCAACAAGTGAGGATCGAAATTTAATTCAATGGCACCAAAGTGCTGGAGTTCTCCACTTTTGTAATAGGAAGGCCTTTTTAAGTTCTTAGACTACACAACAACCTTTATATTTGTTTTTAATAACGATACAACAGAGGAAACAATATATCTCTAGTGTCCAATTTTGCATCCTCTGAAAGCAATGGAAGAAAAGTCTGTAATTTCAGTGATGGAAGCTGACTTAGGCCCATAACTTCGTGACTGAAACAATTTGAATAACTTGCATTGCCTATAGCAGAAATACTCAGTAACTGCTTGCAACCTATTTTCTTCAATTGGCTAATTTACATAATTTTTGCAATCTGATTTAAACGTATAGCAGTTCTAAAGGGTAGCAAGAAATAAATTTTGAGTTAAGGGAAAATAAATATTAATCATGTGTAAGTTTTTAAATAAACTGTGACTTAAAAGTGATGCAAAAATTTCTATTTGACCTATGAAAACAAAGTCCTCCTTGCTCTTCGGTGTAAAAGTGATAACTTTCAGACCAAGCCTATTTTCTATTCAAATTTATAGAGCAGTAAAAGTGGACATTTAAAGTATAAGTTCACTGAAACTCTTACTGGAACAATTGCTGTTTATTATATGTTACATATATCTTTTAACATCAAAAAAGAATCATACCCAGTGTAACTTCCTGCTTGTTTGTACCCTTGCAGTACTGGAAGCAAACAGTTTGTGGATGAGGCTGATAAAACTTTGGCAGCACTCTGCAGTTGGATGCCATTTACATGACTGCAGTTTCTTTTGCTATCCCTTAACGTGCTTTTTTTTTTTTGACAAATAGCAATTTTATTGTCTTTGCAGCTGGCTGCTGAAATTCAAGAGGATATTTTTCTTTGGGTTTTGGTTTTTTTGTGTGTGTTTTCAATTCTGAATGCAGAGGTGAAAATTCTGTTTCTTTTAGTTCTACGGAAAGCATTTACAATTCCCCCAGGAGGCAATTTGAATACAGATTTTTCCCTTGTTGTCAAAGCGGTAATTTACAGGTGGATGTTTTTTTCATTGCGGGCTTGAGCACAGCCAGAAGCTGTACTGCACACCAGTTCCTGAGCCTTGCCAAGGTAAACCTGTGCAGTGACACTGGGGTCAATTCAAAGAGATTAGATTCAGCATTTTGTGAAACTTAACTTTTTCAGATGTATGTCCTGAAAAATACTTTTATTTTTACACTTTTAAAACTTTTAAAATATTTTTCCTTGCATGCTGATCTCCTTCCATCCCCCAAACACTCACACTTGGGACTGAAGTTTTGAATGTCTTTTTGTTGATACTGATTTCTTCCCAACGACAGTTTGAAATCCCTACAGCCATTCTCAAGTTATGGGTTTTCCTCTGGTACCTCGTGATTTCCAACTGGCCTCATTGTTCCCTCCTTCAGTCCTGTCTGTGATGTTGCAACTTTTACTTAGCTGGTGGATCATACCTGGTTCTTCCTTTTTACAGACATCTGCATTGCACGAGGAATTACATTCACCTGAACCTCTTCACCTCTTTTATCCTCCGGGCTATATCTGTCTTCATTAAAGACTCAGTGGTGAAGTGGATGTACAGCACAGCCACGCAAGAGCACCAGTGGGAAGGACTTATCTCCTTCCAGGTAGGGGCAGACACTGAGGTGGTTCTCAGGATATCGGAGTCATCACTGTAGTGTGTCTGCATGACAGCAGGTAATTTCGTTTTGTGCAACGAGGGTCATACAAAATGCTCTCCTTCAGTCCATGGAATTTCTCTGAAACTTGTAGCACAACATCTGTGGTTGTGGTTGTGCCATCCTGGGCTTGGTACAGACAAGTAGTTGATGCCATGGTGTGTGTCTCTGCCTGTGGAAAGCTTACTCCGACTAAACAGAGGAAACACAAAGAAATAGATTTTTTATATATGTACAAATGCCCATATCTTCTTCCCATGCTGCAAGTACATTTTTTCCAGCAGTGACAAGAGGACATTCATTTCCCTAAGCCACCTCCTTTTGTGATAGGACTGTCCATCTTCTGTAATGACCAAATTAGTTGGTCATTCTTGGAGATCTTTATAATCTGTTAATGATGGAAAAAAGGGAAGCATCTGATTAAAATGCAAATTTGAAAGCATTTAGAAAAGCTTTGGAGGAACAGATGAATTAAATACTTCTAATCGAAGGAGAGGATGTACACCTCTATGTGAATATGATGAAAGCATACCTTTCCACCTTCAGATTTGGAATAACAATGTACTTTAATCCTCAAAGAAAAGGATTTTAATTATTTGTATAGCTCTTGTGATTCTAGAACCATGGGTACAGTGTTTGCTGCTGCAATACAGGGTGAAGGGTATGTTTTCTGATGCGCGCTTAGTACCCATCCCTTTCTGACACTGCCTAAGGCTTAAGCACTAATACCACATACTGAGTCTCATATGATGGTTGATTTCTTCTCATCTGCAATGTATCAGTTGGCAGGAAATAATATTGTAATACATACCTTAAATGATTTGGAAATGTTTGCATTGGATTGTCAGTCATTCCCTCCTTTCAGAAAAAACCTAGGCTTTATGCTTTCACACATGGTTTATCCAACAGTGGTTTCATCAGATGTGATGGATATATTAATTAGGTAATCAGGTTTCATACTTATCTAAAGCTTTGCTGACCATCTCTCTGTCATTTACCAGCCAAGAGAGATTTTGCACTTAAATGTGATGCTCTGGGCAATATCGCTGTTCTATGAAAAATCTTTTGCTTTGGAAAATAGTCAACATTACAGCATCCGTTATTTGCTCTTTAATAGAGAAATTCTCAACTGCAGAATAGAATATCTGTGGGAAGTGAAAAGATCCACTGAACTGCAGTTGATAGAGTACCTTTCACTTGCGCTTCTTTTCATCTTGTGGTGTACTTTTCAAATTATAATCTGTTGGTTACTGAGGGAAAATGCAGAACATGTAATTTTTAATTTTATTTTTCTAAAGGAGGAATGCTGTTGAAAGCATCTATTTGCTGTGTATAGCACCTGTTACTGGCTTCCACCCCTTCAGTACTCAAGCGTGATTAATTTAGCAAGTGTTGGTTGGAGGAGCAAGTAAGAGCAGCAGAGAGAACCAGTCTTTTTGGTTAATATCTTTTTATTCTCAGCCCCTATTGCATTCATTTGGGGTGTACTTATCTCTGTCACAGGAATCGCTCAGCTGCCGCTTGGTCTTTGTGATGATGCAGTATTGTGTGGCTGCAAACTACTACTGGCTGCTGGTGGAAGGCATGTACCTGTACACGCTGCTGGTACTTTCAGTCTTTTCTGAGCAGAGAATTTTTCGGCTGTATCTCTGCATTGGCTGGGGTAAGTTGATCTTTCTGTGCTGTCTGCCTGTGGCTGCCTGAACTGGCAGGTAGTGTAATAGGAAAAAATACTGTCTGTCTATGGTAGTGCTGCCTGGTTCAAGCCCTGCAGTCTCCTTTCCCTTTGTGTTCCCAATCCCTTGCCTTGTTTGAGCTGGGGGGTGCTGGGCCAGCCCAGCTCCCAGGTGCTTGCAGTGTAGAGGCTGTGATTTCATAACGCAGGGACTGTGCGGCACCATGGGAAATCCCCAAGCCAGTGCCAGCCAGGTGCATGCTACTTCACAGAACCACAGAGTTGTCAGAGTTGGAAGGGACCTCTAGAGATCATCTAGCCCAACTCCCCTGCTAAAGCAGGATTGCCCAGAGCACATCACTCAGGACTGCATCCAGGCAGGTCTTGAAGTTCTCCAGGGAAGGGAAGTCCACAACCTCCCTGAGCAGCCTGTTTCAGCGCTCTGTCACCCTCACCGTAAAGTTTTTCCTTGTATTTAAATGGAACTTCCCATGTTCCAGCTTGTGCTCGTTGCCCCTCGTTGGGTCACTGGGAACCACTGAAGAGTCCGGCTCCATCCTCCTTCAGCCCACCCTTTAGATACTTATAAGCATGAATAAGGTCTCCCCTCAGCCTTCTCTTCTCCAAACTAAAGAGCCCCAGCTCCTTGAGCCTTTCCTCATGAGGGAGATGCTTCCATGCCTTAATCATCATAGTTATGTTGGACTCTCTCCAGTAGTTCCTTGTCTCAGTATTCCAGTTGTGGCCTCACCAGTGCAGAGTAGAGGGGGAGAATGACCTCCCTCGGCCTGCTGGCCACACTCTTCCCTATGCAGCCCAGGATTCCGTTGGCCCTCTTGGCGACAAGGGCACATGATACTTCTCCTGCAAGACATCAGCTTCCCAATACAAAAGATGTGTGGGTGATTCCAGGTTAAGGTGGGCTTTTTCTGGATTGCCCAGCTTCATCTCCTGATAGTTTCCCATTGCATTCAAAGGTATGTTAACTAGTTTTGGTGCAAAATAGTGACTATACCTTGTATCTGGTCATGGATAACAGTAGAGAAATGGTGGCAGCATGAGCTAGGAGGATGCAAAGGGGCTGGTAAAGAAGGAATGGCTAGCAAGGAGTTGTTGGGCTGGTTATGTAGGCAGAGCAGGTCAGGTAATAATTGCTGGGCAAAGGAGTGGTCAGGGTGCACGTGCCATGGGCATTTACACACTTGAGAATAAGGACTGCGATGCCCTGAAATCAGGTGGTTGAACCAGAGGCACCTTCTGTAGAAATGCTAAAACTTTGATTCTTTCACTATCTAGTTAGCCTGAAAATATATTACTGTTCAGGATTAATCCTATTTTTGGAACGATCTTTTGTGTGCTTTTATTACATTCTCTCCCTTCCTCTTCTTCCCCCCTCCCCTTTCGGTGGAAATCAGGCGACTTTTGGAAAGCTGAAAGTAAATCCCAGTAAATGCTGCAAGTGCTTTCACAGATACTAGTTTGAACATGTAAATTGCTTTGACTGTCCTTCTGTATGGATTTACCAACTGTGAATATTCTAGCAAATTAGTTCACTGGTAAAATGCATATAAATGGCTTACTGTGAATTACCCAATTCTAGCGAACAGTAGATATATGAGGAGCAAAGGCTTTCCAGCGTATTGATGGGAGTAAATAAATGCAAGTAATAGCACTTTCCTGCTGGAGAGTTTTAGTTCAAAAGTTCTGTGTCTTCCATTGTTGTTTCATATGTAGGACATGCAGCAAAAGCAACAGAATCTTGCATAACATTTGAACTATGTGCATTTTAATCATATTTTATGAACAGCCATAACCTCAATTAAAGAAAAAAAAAAAAAAGGATGGAGGGACTATCCTGAAGCACTGACTGAAACCATGAGAAGAAATGGAGAAGAAATTAGAGCAAAATTATATCTAGCCAAATCTGAGGATATTGTGTTGTTTTATAAGTAAGGGTTAGGATGGTTTTGATCTGAATCACTTCTAGTTACAGTTTGTCTGTTGCAAAAGCAGAAGGCAGAGACAGAAGTTGCTTTTTTTGCTTGTTTGTTTGTTTGGCTTTTTCTTTAAAATGGCAGTTTTACTACTGTATATTGGATTTCTGGATGAATTTGGAAAAAGAGTGGCGGTGCCAGAGCTTCGCACTGGATACATGGGTTTCATCTGAGCTTCCTAGAAGAGCTCTGCCTGTGCCATTCAGTCCTTATCTGTACAGTTTTTTGCAATTCCAGCCATGGCTGCACGTGCAGACCTTGTCAATGATTCTCCATCTTCAAATGCAGAAACATCTGCTATTTCAGTGCTCCCAGATTAGTTATTCCAGATAACCATTTTGTCTCTAAAAAGTGGAAAGAGATGAAGATTTTTTTTCCACTCTTTCTTGCTTCTTCGCTGGTGATTCCATTTTTTCATTGCTCAGGTCCTTCCCTAGATGCCTTTCTGCTATTAGCAGTGCTCAGCATGCAACGAGCAGCATGACAGCCTCAGCATAATCCTGAGGCTTCAGAGAGCCAGTAGGTTCTTGTTTGGGCTGAGAAAGTCCCACTCTTTGAAACAGTTTATCAGCTGTAAGCTGGATCAAAAAATACCTATCTATTTGGTTGTCAGAGCTGATTTGATACTTTGCCCCTTTGTTCTGTTAATGAATTGTCCTCTTACTGGATAATTTTTTAACTTGTTCATTACTGAACATTTGATGAATATATATGTTTTAAACTTTTGTACATGCACTTGTTCACAAACTTAGTGGGTGTTAGCCCTTTCCTCTTGGTATTCCTTCTGATTATAACTGAACTTTGTGATCACTTACAAACCACATGGTATTGCTTTTGCTGTCTGATTAACTTCTGCAGTCCCCAATGTGATCACATATGTTTGCAGTTGTGCTTCTCTCAAATGTACATAAAACTGTGTATTCTTCTCAAGACTTTTGTCCACCTGAGTGTTTGCATGTACTCTCAGTCATGATGTTCGCCCTGTTCTTCTTTTGAGGAGAAACAGGTCTCAGAACAAACAAGAAACTAGAGCAAATTAATTCTTCAGGTAATCCCAAGCAAAACTGTAACGTAAGGGCCATCTTTCAAATAGGTAGAAAAGTCCCAATACCTATTTCTGTCCAAGGTTTTGAACCACTATATTAAATAGTGCTATATTTTGTTATAACAGGAAAAAGTCCATGTAATCGTGTAGATAAAAAAAAAGAGGTACTTCTCACATTTTATGTCTAACATGATAAATTCATCTCAATTCAAAATGTGGAAAGGATAAACCTGCTTTTCAAATGGAAACAAGTAAAAGATACCATACTTAGTGTGTGTCTTCCTAGGAGCAGTTAGCAGTGAGGAGTGTAAAGAAAAAATAATAAATATTTCTCAAATATATTTTTGCTGTATCATAATTTCAGGTCAATACTTAATGTTACAAGACATACTCCATTTAGTATCAGTTCAAATGAGCAATTATTCTTTGCTGTTAAAGTGTTTTATAAGGGGAGACGTCTGTTTATCTCATGTTATTGTATTTTGCAAAAGCTAGAAAAGTTATAAAATCTTGATAGACCTCAAGAAACTAATGCAGTTTTACAAACTGGGAGTCATTTATATTGACATCATGTATATTGATAGAATTCTATAAACCTTCCTGATTACTTGTAAGGTAACTTTATTCCTGTAATGGCCACTTCCTTGCCAAGATTTCATGCCACAATGGGCTTTGAGATGGCAGTATTAAATTTTTTCTATTTCATTTAATGTGGAAAATGCCTTGCTTATGTCTTCTCTTTCTTTGTGAAAACAGGCTTTGATACATTTGTGTCAACCCTGAGTTCAGACATCTTACTGCAAAAACAATAGTGTATGCCATTTTCAAAGCTGATGGGAAAAGAAAAAAAAAAAAAGGCAGAAACACAAACAGCGTCAACAAACAAAATTCTTAATAGGCTAATGGCAGAGCAGGTAGATGTGCTGTTCCCTTCAGTCTGGAGGTCAGCACAACAGCAACTAAACAGGGTGTTGGTGCAGATAATCATTATCACTTGCAGGAAGAAAAAAAAAAAAAGCAAAAAAGCAAAGATTTTCTGGCTTTTCATTTACAATAGGTTAAATTGTTCCAGTTGTGGCCTTGACAACTATATACATGTATATGTAAATTATCACCTGCAAGAAAAAAAAAAAAAAAAAAGCAAAAAAAAAAAAAGCTGTTGCAGGTGTAGGGACACCAACTCACTGTTCATCATGCCTGAGCCCCAGGGAAGAGTTACTGAGCTTGACATGGACTTCAGGCAGCTGTGTCAGTAGAGCGGTTTATATTGTAACACTGCTTGGATTCTGCATCACCAAAGATGCTTGGTGTGCATCTTTGAGCACCTTTTGGTGGAAGAAGGACCCGTTTGCATTCAGAAGGGGGAAGGAAGTAGGAATGGGGAAATAATAGCAACATCCCACAGTGTCTGTGTGCAACATCCAGGAGGGAAGAATGACAGGAGGAGACAATTTTCAGCACTGAAGGCTAAAAAGAAAATGTTAATAAAAAGCTAAGCATTCTCTGAGCTTCTATGGCAATTTTACACCCAGCTGCACTTGCAGCGGGGAAACTGCCATAAAAAATAAATAATTCCCCTCCTTCTAACCCTTGGCAATCCAAACTTGCTCTAAGGAAGAATACTTTGAGGGAATGAAGCTATTAAAGGCTGGAAGCCTAGCTAGAGTGTCAGTCTCCATCCTGAGTGCCAGGAAGATCTGACTGGAACACAGTCAGTAAGACACTTTCCTTCTGAAGCTCAGTATGAATTCTGTAGCAACAGGAGATACATTCATTGTACTAGCTATTTCTTGACTCTCTTAAAATAAAACTTTCAGACAAGGAGGTGAAAATTGTTTTTGTGTCCAGACTGATTCCTGGTAGGAGGAAACACGTCTGTCAGGAGTTTCTCTTAATTCTCTCACTCTTTGTCTTCTGGATTCTTTCAGAAAGAAAAACATTTCATCTTTTCTTCCCACATCTTCATTGCTCTTACTCTTTCTACCTCTAGTCATATTTATTTACCACTTCTTTCAGTTCCTCATCATGTACTTCTTGCATTCATACGTTAAGCAGTTGATCAAGTCAGAGCATCCTGGATGGCTTCTGAAAGGGGCGGATAAGAGTTCGTCTGACAGCAGTAATGTCCTTCTGGTTTGTGTGCCTGATTATCTCGAAGGCTGAACTTCTCACCACATGAAAATCAGTGATGTCAGGTTACATCTAAAATAGGAGCTTAAGCACAGACTCATCAGTTCTAAAATCCTGTATTCATAATATATCCTCATTTAAGGGTCTTGGTAGGATGGCAGTGCTCTTGTCCTACAGAGGCCGATTTACTCCAGGAAGAACCTCTAATCAGCAGGTGAGGCTGAGGGGAGCCTTTCTTGCTCCTCATACATCTTTCTCCCCTGAAATTGTTCTTACGTACATTGCAAAGCTAGAAATACCATGTGTCTGCAAGAATGAAAACTGCTTGAACATTGAGGTGAGGGAAGGAAGGAATGGCAGTATGGAACAGCACCACCTGGTGATACCTTTCGTGGTAACTGCTACTTAGTGGACTCAAGAACAACCCTGAGCTTTTCTGGTCTATCCAAAAATATCCCAGACCCATTAAACGGAGAGACCGATTTCTACATGCTGTTACCAGGACATGGCAGATTCCATTAGCAGCAACACGAGTTGCTCTCCTCTCTGCTCACTAGGGACAGTGGAGCATTGTGAAGATGTCAACCAAGTGGTGGTTCCTATGTAGAATTTCTCACAGCTTTCTTCTCTTACCTACCCCATCCTATTATCATTCTGGATAATGTCTGGGTTTCCAATTTTTATTTTTTTTTCTTTTTACTATGAAGACACCTGGCCAGGTGTAGAGTATGTATGCTAGAGTGAAAATAAGTAGGTTGTGCTGCTTATTTATGCAGGGGGGTATTAAGACGTTGATTTGGCAGTTCCATTACTTTCTCATCATCTATAATATATATTATCATTGCAGCCTGTCCCCTGTTTTTTGAAGTTGAAATTTTTTAGCTGAGCTGTTGGCATGCTTATTTCCTAGCACACTTGACAGATTTCATAGTCACCATGCAGCGTTCAAAGATGGTTTTGGTCATTTATTGGCCTGTAAGAATTAACATGGCACAGGCTATTATGAATAGGCTGTTGCAGTTTCTGGCGTTTTCAGCAATGATGCAGTACAGACAAATGTAGACATTACCATTTCCAGAATTCAGAGACTTTTCAGTGGTCAGTTAATCTGGGGAAAGATCAATCTCTGAGCTTTCTGTATGACAAAAAGCAAAATCAGAAAGAGTTCAGCCTATATCTTAAATATGTGAATCCTATAAATGAGTGCATTTTTTTTTCAGCTATCTGATATTCTTTGAATAGCAGCAGCAAGAGAAAGAGGTGTATGACTGAAACTCAAATGCACCAGAAGAGCTGCATGTTGGGAGTCCAGGACTGAAATACAACGCTAATTCAGTTAATGGATGATAGTCATCTGTAGAGTTTATTTAAAGAGCTGTATACAGTTTGCTTTCGCTGCCTGCTTAAGGCACCCAAATTTGTCTTGACTGAGTGAAGTAACCAGAATATTTGCATTTGTGCCTGCTAATGCAGGTTAATTAGGTATCAAGGTTGTAAATTAATCTATAGAGAGCCTCAGTGATCCTTGCAAACTACAGTTATTGCACAGCTGCTGCAGACTTGCTCTTTTGCTGCTGTGAATGACTTCTACAGACTTGAGGTGGATTAATGAATGTTTTTGGGGCAGTCTCTTCTTTAGGTCTTGACTAGGGCTTTGGAAAACTGGATGCATTCCCATCTGCTGAGAGCATGTTCCCCACAGTTTTCAGAACCACCCATTTCTTAGGACAAGACTTTGTGAATTTGGTAGTTGTCAGATGGTATTTATATAGAATTTGCACTGATGTTCAAAGCTTATATGTATGCATTGCACTGTTAAGTCTCGGTGTCCCAGATTAAGATGTGCATTGCTAGCATGGAAAATGATGTGACTGATGGTGTTGAAACACCAAGGCACCAGAGGCCTGCACTGCAAGTGGGAATGGGCAGAGGATGCAGGACATGTCACCTTGTACATGCTGCTTATTAATTTGTATATTTGCATAGTGGGATGCTGATGCAGTTCAATAATACCAGCCTCTCAGCTAGGCTCTTTTGAAATATAATAGCAATAACAGATTCTCAATTCAAATGTCAAGTAATGCCATTAAAAATGGAGAGATTTCTGATGTATCCAGAAGATGGAGATATTCACAAATCATTATTGTTATCTCTTGATTTATCAGTTACCTCCACTGACATGCAGCCTTTGTGCTTTCAGTGTTCGTGTCTTATCCTGTAAGTTTCATATTAAGATGTCTTAATTCTCAGCAAAGTCAAGAAAGGAATAAGTCAAACTATAATTAGTTTCTGTGAATCAAAAGCTCATTTGTGTTTGGAAGTGATTTGCAATGACCGTGTTCTTAATCTCTTATGCCACTATCAAAGCAGCACAGAGTTCTCAGTAACTTTGCCCCCAAAAGATTGTGTACTTTCAATATCAGGTACATCCACAGAACATGTTCAACTGCTTGCCCCAATAATCTACTCAATTCATTATCTTTGCTCTTATTCTAATTATTGGTATTTTTTTTCTTGCTGGTGCTGCTCTTTATTCTCTTTTTTTTTTTTTAACGAATTAAGGAGAACAGTTGGTCTTTTGTGTCTGTAGTATTCAGTTGTTCTGATAGGAGAGAAAGATTACAGTAAAACAAGAGAGAAGGCTTTTATTGATAATACCCACTACAGATACTGCTTGAAGATTTTCAGACTGCGAGAGATCACTGATTTCCCTGTGGCTTCTGCTGTCAAGAGCTGTGTATTTTTTTGCCCTGTGCAGTGCTTCCTGCTGTGCGCTGATGTTCTTATGGTCCCTTACCGTATTGGTTCTTAAAAATGCAATAACAAAGCACATTAAATGTTGCCCTTCCTATACAATGTACCTACAGCATCTGACACAGTCTAAGGAGGTGCATAGGGGAATTAAAGCATCTTGATCCATCCTTAGGCAGAAATTCCTCATCCTGCTCATTGAGTCTCAACATGCTTTCCTTCCTTGTGGGCTTTCTTGGCATTCCCTATACTGAGTATTGGTTGGGAGATGCATTTTAAATTCTTTTTCAAGACCTAGGCATTTCATAAATGAAATAAATTAGCTTGAGAACCTTTGACATAGTAAAGCAAGTAATGACTGCCAGCTTAGTTGGCTTTTCTCTCTCCCCTTTACACCTCAGATAAACTGACACACATGCACTGGCAGGTAACGGTAGGACCAAACCTCTTCTCAAGACCAGATGCATCTGATGTCCTTGCTGCAGCCACTCAAGTCCATGCCAATACCGGAGCCCAAACTGGGGACTTCTCTGTGGGGGAGGCCTGAGCACACTGGCTGCATGTTGTGTGCCCACAGTCCCCTTTGCCATCGGGGCTGCGTGGGGCTGAGTGTGCTCCGGCCCTGGAGCCAGAAGACAGGCTGAGCTTGGGGCTGCCTGAATGTGGGGTAGCTGACCCACAGGCAGAAATGTGGGTGCAAAGGTTCGGGTCAGAGCACGCTACACTCCTCTCTAATGTGAATATAGAGGCAAGCAGAGCTTCCAGACATTTTGTTGTCTTGGCCCCCTCTGTGAAACTTTGTACGGAAAAGCTGGTATATACAGAGTATGGGGGTGATGGTCTGTTTGTTTTTCATGCCTGTTAGGAGCAGGGGCCCAGGTGAAATGACTTATGTGTATTAGTTACCTGCAGGTTAGATTCCTCCTCCCACCATTGACAGCCATCTGCGCTGGGTAGGAGCTGCAACCCTGCCGCCAGTTAATTATGTTGCTCATCATTGAGGGGGGGGGAGAGAGGGTGGGTTTGTCCTTCTCTCTGCTTTTCCCTGTCTCTTGATGTCAGTGTCAACCTTGTTTCCTCTCTTCCCAGGTGTGCCAATGCTGTTTGTTATCCTCTGGGGAACTGTCAAGTACCTTTATGAAGATGAGGGGTTGGTTTAGTTCTGATTTTTCTAGCTATCTCATTTGTGCTGTCTGTGTGCACCGGCAGGTCACTGTTTGCTTTCTGTTCGGTGTGGTTTGCTTTGGCAATGTGCTGAAACCTCACATAATTGCTTCTGTTTTGTCTGAAGGTCTTGCATAACATTTCAGAAAGGAGCATGTGTTTCGTTCTGATCAGAATTTTCTGCATGTCTGAATGAATCTATCCTTTTGCAGGTCAAGGAAAGGTATGTTTTGTTTTTCTGGAGTTAGTGTATCAACAGTAGAAATCATCATACCCAACCAAGACCGCTCCTGATACTGTGCCTTTGGCAATAGCCTTTTCAGTTATGCTTCAGAGGAAGGCAGAAACCTCCCACAGAATTCTGCCTGCGATTTGTAGCAGTTCACTTATGCCTAACAGCAGAGATGTGATTGCCTGCTCTTGTTTAAGCTTCCATTATTTAGATCTTCTTAAAATAAACGCGCATTCTCTGTCTGCTTACGTTAGTCTTGCTGGAGTCAACTATGCCACGCATAAAACTGCTGCAAAGCACAAAATACTTTTTGTCTGCTTTTACCATAGCGGTTGTTCTGAAAAATTGCGTGTGCTTTATATACCAAATAGGTTTTTTTAAAAACAAAAGTGAGGAAAGTGGCTTCTCAGGGACAGTGATTGCCTGCAAATATTTGGGTAGCTTTCTTTGTGATAACGTTCACAACTTTAAGCTATTTCCTTTTTATTCTAAACATACTGTTTATTGGGTCTTCCTCTTACTTAATTTCCAAACAACCCAGCCAGCACTTTTGTAGAGGGTCCTTTATTTTTGCTCACCCCTCCCTCCAACCCCCCCAACACAATGCTTGCTGGAGAGATGCTGCAACGTGAAAATTCAATGCAGTCAGAGCCACCCCCAGACTTTTTTTCTGGTGTTCATGAGTATTAAGAACTGGCCTTTTCCCCCCCCCCCCGCCCAGTGTCTTTTGTAGTACTGAAGTATTGAACCAGTTTGGTCAAAGCTGCCTTTTCTGGCTTAAGCAATGTTAGGATTTTCTGACTTTCCTTTTCAAGATTGACTTGATAATATTCTGTAGCAAGACCGTGACCATAGTGATGTATTGCAAGTTTTATTGAAATTATCAGAATAGGTGTAGAGAACATGCAGCCTCTGAACAGGCGACGTTCCATGGGCATATCTTCCCACTGATGTAGAAAATGTATTCAAAGTGCTCATGCTGAGCCTTCTACATTATGCAGTGCTCAGAGCTGATTTATGTTTTCTATTAAGGAAAACTGTCACTCACAGCCTTCAGCAGACCTTAAAAGGGGCAATTTTGCACCTTATTGAATTTTCTAGATCTTGTATAAATATTTGTAAAATACAGCAATAAATAACCACGTGCAGCAGCTTCTCTGAAAGGCAAGATTTCTGTGCCTTGGGCGGGCATTTGCTGGAGCAGGCAGGGATATCTTTCATGCTGTTTGCCATAGCGCTGTCACCGTGGACATGCAGCAAGCTGTAAATTTCATTTGTGACTTAACTGCTTCCCTGGCTATGAGGAATAACTGGAAGTAAATGTGGTCATGGCTGGGAATCTGAGGCAGTCCTGTGAACACAGCCATTTGAATGAAGGACTGAAGCCTGCAAGACTTGCGCACTGTCTCCTCCTTTCCTTACACTAGCAAGTGTAAACTTCTTTAGAAAGCAGATGCTGTTTTAAAAAGTGACCTATTGAAAAAGACTGTGTCTACATTGCGAATACAATTAAAGGCAAGCTGTGCTTCTTAATTAGTCTGTACTTAAAGAGCTGACGCTTATACATCTTTGTTTCGATCTGCAATTAATTATGGGAGCAAGACAGCCAGCCTACAATCTTTCAATCTTTTGAAAAAATTAAGCCATTCAGCTCTACCTCTTCAAGGTAAAAATTCAATGTTTTTTGAAAAAGAATACCATATTGGTAAGCAAAGGCAGAAACTTCCTAGTAGCATTTGCTTCACCGGACCAATTCTCCATTCACAGCTCTGAGGCTATGAGCTGCCAAGCATCTTCTGAATGATGCTGGATAAACTGCAGGGCTAGATCCCAAACACAATAGAAGTTGCTGAATTTATCAGTGTGGCAGTCCCAGAAAGCACAAATTGGCAAGAAATCATGCAGATCTATCAATTTTATTTTCTGGATACTTTAATAATTGTGACAGTGTAATTGGGCTGTAATGGCAGTTTTATTGCACATATTTGTATAAATTTAAAAGTAGCTAAAACTGTTCTGTGCCACAGGAAGCAAATTAATACATATGGAAATGTAGCAGAGTTAAAGTAAAGAATTATTTCTCAGCCTCTGTCATTATCAGGAACTTAAAAAATTGCCTGTGCTTCCACTGCAGCTAGTCAGAAAATTAGAACTCCACTTCCAACTATCATCCCACCGGTCTTGAGAGCTTCAAATAAAATTAATTTTGAAGGCTCCCAGTCACATGTACCAATTAAGTTCTTCTGTAACTCAGATTCCAGCTCAGGTCTGCTGACTGAACACTATATGTACAGCTTTTTTCTCCAGTATCTAAAATGCAATTGAATCATAGGTTGTGGAGCTGCTGGTTGCAATAATGTGCTTGTTATATGCCTATTAAACTGAAACTGAGAGGAAAAATGAAATCCTGAGCCCTTCTTGGGCTTGCAGTACCTGCAAGGGAATATGGAGTTGCCACAGCCAAGCTGCTTCACTTTCCTCTCTTGTATGTGTATGCACATGGATGTGTTGGTGTAGTGTGGGTGCCTACCACGTGCTGCATGGTTTGCTGGTTTCTCTCAAGCTGACTGTCGCATTACAAGGTTGGGAGGGCTTACTCTCTGCCAGCATCACCCAAGCTGAAATTTCATAGGCCTCTTAAGAAACCTTAAGGAAAAAGGAGTATATGTATGTTTTGGCAGATGAGATGTGGAGATGAAGAGAAACTTGTTTTGTGAAGGAACCTGTGTTTTCTGTAGTGCTCTTTCATAGTTTATGTTTCACAATCTGTGTAGCTCAGAAACTTGCTGGCTTTCCTGATGACTGTTGCTTTTGAGTAATGCTGAGCAATATGGCAGGAGACTAACAAAGTCATTTCGTAGAAATATTAAGAATGTTGTCACTGCAGCAACAAGTGAAGTGGCATGTGAACACTGCCCCAGTGCCTGGGCTATTGTGCACGCACATGGCCCATCCTACAGTCAGGGGTGGCTGGCTGTGGCCAGGGTGAGACCAAAAGAACTAGATGTACAAACCCTGCAGGGTAAAATTAACTTCAAACCAGTGGTCCCAAACTGTGGCTTTCAGCCATCACTTTTCTTGTGATTGTTCTCCAATATTGCTCAAGGACATAGGAATTTATAAAGCTGAAGTGAGACTTATGTGGAGAATGAAGTATTATATTGCCTGCGGCATGTTACTTACTTGGCAGAGGGCTCAGCTTGCCAACAAAAGTTGGGAACTATTGCTCCTGTCTTGGATTTTACTTGCTTGTCACTTTTAAAACTCCCTTTGGGCCTGAAACCTGTCTGTATACACTGAAGGAACTGGAGTTTGCTGCCTTAATTGCTTTCTCCTGGTTGAAATTAGAAGGTCTTTTTGAAAATAAGGAAAAATAAAATAGATGACAGGTATAAATATTGATACGAGAAAACTGACAAACAGTTAAGTAATAAGATGACATGACATTGGAGACTGAAGAGTAATAAAAAATAATGCAGAAAGAGGAAGGTAGAAACCATTCAGGAAAGGTCTGACTCAGCTTCCGCCCTTCTTCTTTCAGCCACATGACAAATTTGACCTTGGTTTTAATGGAGTAAATCTTCACAATTATATTATAATAATTCATAGCAAATTGTGAAGGAGAGCTGGCCATTAGTGGGCAAGAAAGGCAGTCGAGTAGTATTGAGTTGAATTATGATAGCTGCAATAGTACAAAGCATTCAGCGTTTCTAAGAAGCAACTGCATCTGTTTCCATGTCAGCATGATGTGCTTTCCTGGTATCTAGTCTTCAATACTGTTTTCCATCTGCACTGCTGTGACAATGAAAAGTGGGAGATTTTAGTGATGTACTGAAACTTTTTCTTCTTGTCTCCCTCTTTTTGCCATCTGCCTAGTTGCTGGACCAGAAACTATAACATGAATTACTGGCTGATCATCAGGCTACCCATTCTCATCGCCATTGGGGTAAGTGTGGGGCATGTGCAGCAAGCTGGCAGATTTCCATGAGAACAGGACATGATCTAGTGCAGAGAGCAAACGTGCACATGGCTGTTGTGTATGTCCAAAGGCTAATAACCTTTGAGGGTATTGACATTTTCAGTCAGAAATGTGATTTTATGAAACCAAATTGGTTTCTGTCACTGGAATTCCAGACTAGTGTTTCATTTGTTTAATTTGGGCACGTGCTGTTGCAGTGGCAGTAGATGACAACAACACAGCATGCGGCAGCAATCCTGTTAACTCCCCGGTGCAGGGAAAGCTGTGACAGGTAGTACAGGGAGGCAGAAGATAATATTCCAGGTGCTGGGCTACAAAAGAGCAGGAAACTATGTGGCATTGTGGAGAAATGCAGTGTTCTGCAGCCACGTTGTGGTGGACCTCCAGGTCAAGGCAAATGGGACAGCCCACACCTTTACTGTGTCTCACTCCCCAGAGATACAGGTAAGATCCCATACTTTGTTTAATAAACTGCCTGCGTTTTCAGAAATTACTTGTGCATTCACAGAGGATGTATTTAGAGCACAATTCTTTAGCAAGGATTTGAATTCCATGGCAAATTATGCAGCTGCAGAGTAGCAGGATGCAGAGGGACCTACATACACCAACTAGCTTTTGTGAACCCTTATGCATGTGTGTTTCTTGGTGATGACATAAATCCATCTTTCATTTTTCCAGGTAAATTTCCTGATCTTTATCAGAGTTATATGCATCATCATCTCCAAACTACAGGCTAATTTGATGTGCAAAACTGACATAAAATGCAGGTATGTCATTTAGTGGTCTGACACTTTCTGTGCCTCTCAAAATGGAAGTAGACAAGGATGTACATGAAAAGGAGTGGATTGCCAAAGGTGGTTAAAGATCACAGGCCTTGGGTAGTGCACAGGTGTGGTGTCACACATTGGTATGACTGCTTGGACAATCGTTCCCCAGAGAAGCCTCCTGGTGAAGCCAGGACAGGTGTTATACCTGGGTTATAGTCTTTCTGAGCTCATCTCTTTATAGTCTTCCATAATACTGGATGAATATTAATTAAGCAGACATTTTTTAAATACTTGCAGCATATGCAAGTACTTCACCTAATTTGAAAAAACCATGAATGTTAGAAATAAACACTTTAACTTCAATGAAGATCAAGGTGGGGGTCATTTTGTATATTGCTCCTTTTTCTTCTTCCCGGTTGTTACTGGGACAAACTTTCAATCTTGAATAGATATGATGTTTCAAGAGAGATGTCAGATATATCACATAAGTGTTCAATTTTTATTTTGCAGGCTTCACCCTGCCTGTGTGTGTATTATTCCTGCTATTTAATCACCGTGCTAAGATTCATGGTCACATCTTTCATTTCTTCATCTTGGAGAATATTTCTGTACTGCAGACTGAAAAATAATGTAGAAATAAAAAGTTAGCAATAGGGTGAACTAAGCAGTGGGGAGCCTCCATGCTGTGATAGCCAGACTGCTCCTGATGGTTGACTTAGCTAGTCTGAAGTTGAGTATTTCACTGCTGCAGTTTTCTAAGCTACACACAGCATGTATTTTGGTGTATTCTCATCAGGGCATGGAGTTGCCTTGAATGTTACCTGCTTTCTTTACCTCATAAGAAATTTTTGAAATCCTAATTTCTGTTTAGAGCTCAAAGCAGAGAAAATGACTTCTTTTAGTGAGGTGTAGGCTTTGCTTTCATACCTACTGTCATTTTGAATATATGTGACCTTTATTTGCCAGGGTAAAATTTGCTGGGGTGGAAACGGGGGTATTTTCCAGCTCTGACAGCTTGAAGCCATTTAAAAATCTGAATGTAAATTTACCCCATCAAGGGAGAAAGCCTTTCCCTCATGACTTCAGCAAGCAGCAGGAAGGTTTGATGCAGCTGAGCCATTTCTCAGAGGTGCACATTCATTCATTTCTTAATGTTCAAGAATCTGCTGTGTAAACAGAAAGGTTTTGTCAGGAAAGGATTTACCTATCAAGAGAGCCTTCTTCACTGAGAAAGACTGCAGTCTAGGTGGTTATTCTGGAGATTGGTGGTTATAGCCAGAAACTTTGGGGAAGTCTTTTACCCAGAAGAGTACAGTTCATTGGTGTGCCTCTGATGATAACCAGACCAGTAGCCAGAGATTTCTGAATCAGATTTTCTTTCCATTTTTTCTTCTTTTTTTTCTTCTTTTTTTTTTTTTTCTGCTTGAAAAACTGGAAAATATTTTGGGTCTTTTAAACAAGAACTGGTCTAGATGTCCTAGAAAGTGACTAGTTTAGATACGTTTGTGTATAGAAAGAAGAAAAGTTGTTTTGCCCTCAGACTAGTCTGTCCTCTACCTCTCTCCTGTTCCCCATTCAGTTGATGAAAAGAGAGCTCACATACTGATGGCAGCAAATCCCTTTGCTTTGTGGAAGGGCTGGGGAAGAGACTTCTCCCCTTGCTCAGGGATAGGATTTTCTTTAGGATTTTCTTAATTACCCAGGAAGCCTTCTCATAGGATTTTACATGGCTTCCTGTTTAATACAGAGCTCTCCAAATATCCCATCTAGGACAACTAACATTCATTAAATAACCTGGAGGTTTGCTGTACTGCTGGAGAGGGTACAAAAGAAGGCTACAAAGATGATTATGAGCCTAGAACATCTCTCTTATGAGGAAAGGCTGAGGGACTTGGGTCTTTTTAATTTGGAGAAGAGAAGACTGAGGGGGGGATCTGATCAAAGCCTATAAATACTTAAAGGTTGGGTGTCAAGAGGATGGGGCCAGTCTTTTTTCAGTGGTGCCCAGTGATAGGACAAGAGGTAATGGGCAGAAACTAGATCATAAGAAGTTCCATCAAAATATGTGGAGGAACTTCTTTATTTTGAGGGTGGCAGAACACTGGAACAGGCTGCCCAGAGAGGGGGTATAGTCTCCGTCTCTGGAGACATTGAAAACCCACCTGGACAAGTTCCTGTGCAGCCTGCTGTAGGTGGACCTGCTTTGGCAGGGGAGTTGGACTAGATGATCTCCAGAGGTCCCTTCCAACCCCATATCATTCTGTGATTCTATGATTCTACCTCTGTCTCAGGCAAGCGGTGGTGGAGCAGAGCCTCCGTTACAAGACTAGCTGGTAAGCTGCTCGTTTAAACAAGCCCCCTACCCACCAATGCAGCAATCTGCCTGGGTCCACTAGACTTCTGCATTTCTTCTTGTCCGTCTGTGTAAACTGTTTAATTTCAATAGTTTCTTTGATTCACCATCCCTTGGTCCTTGTGTACCAAGGACATTGGCAGGCTGGTGGATGAGGAGACTTGCACTTGGTAGGTAATAACCCCATGCAGCAGTACAGGATGGGCACTGGCTGGGTAGAAGGCAACTTTACAGAAGACCCAAAGATGCTGCAGAACAACAGGTTGAAAATGATTCAGCAGTGTGCCCTTGTGACAGTGCAGGCTGACTGCATACTGGGCTGCACTAGCAAGAGCCTAGCCAGAAGGTCAAGGGAAGTGACTGATCCCCTCCATTCAGCACTTGTGACACTGTTTCTGGTATCCGGGTTGAAGCTCCCCAGTACAAGACAGAAGTTGTGTCCTCCCCCCACAACCCCATGGGACTTGCATCAGTTTTGCACCAAGCTAGTTCAGGGCCTGGACCAGGTGACATAGAAGGAGGTGCTGAAAACTGAGTTCATTCAGTCTGGAGAACAGAAGACTAAGCAAGGATTCAGTTGCAGTCTTCAGCTACCTAATGGTGCTTATACAGAAGACGGAGCTGGAGTATTTTCAGAGGTGCACAATGAAAGGCAAGAGAAATTCCAATTGTATGTCAGAAGTGAAAAAAAAAAAAAATCACAGTGAGAATGGTTTGACACTGGAAGAGAGGCCCAGAGGGCTGTGGAGGACCTTGGAGGTATTCAAAACTTGGCTGGACACAGCCCTGAGTAACCTGCTGTGAACTGGAGTTGGACCAGAGACTTTCAGAGGTACCTTCCAACCTAAATGATTACATGATTCAGAATAGCAGCCAGCAGCCCTAGGGCACACAAGATCTACTAAATACTGACAGCCCTGCTAGTTGAGTGATTTTTGTATCTACTGAATTGTCTCAAGACCGGTTGTTGTGAGATGTTTGATAGCCCTATAAACTCCCAGGTGAGACTCGGGCATCTTTCATTATCCTGTTGGGTCACTAGCATGTATGTCTACCAAAAGAGAGTTAAGGACCATTCTTGTGAACATTTTCCTGTGGTTGTATCCCTGAGCATTGCTCTCACTGGTGAAAAATGTTTTATTTCAGGTTGGTTTGTCTTTTTTCTTTGCTAGCTGTTTGAACAAGTCTTTGAACTTGCTGTTTAAATCATGGAGTCATCACTCACTTTAAGACAGTTTAACTGCTTTTACAAAGTGTTCTGCAGTTACAGTTAGTTACAATGTTTTGAAGATTTAACACAGCACAGAGGTGGAAAGGAATAGCAAGTACTCCTCCCTCTGCCAAGATATTTTTAAATGATTCCAGTTCATTGACAGATAAATTTTTTTTCAGGCCATCAGCAAGGTAGGTTTTGTTCATCTTTCCCACTTAACAGATTGGGAAAAGGATACACCAGAAGACATCTCAAGTTAAGAAAGCACATGACCTGGTCCTGAGTTTGGAAGAAGATTTTCCAGGTGAAATGCAGCCAGCAGTTAAATACAGAGCTTTGCTCACAGCAGGAGGTGGTCTGCAGCAGGTGGCCGGGGCAGTTAAAATGTATTGAAACCTACTAATGTCATTTAAGGATTTTTTTTTTCTTCTGCAGCCTCTGGAGGAGGACCCTGCGACATAAAGTGGTAGAGTGACTTACCAAAGTTGGCAGTGTCTCAGAAGCAAAATGCAGAAATAGTGACTCCAAGTGACCATTGGGATGAACAGTGATCTACTCAGTAGCACTGGTGCTTTTTTTTTCTTTCTTTGTGATCTTAGGCTGGCCAAGTCTACGTTGACTCTGATCCCGCTGCTGGGCACCCATGAGGTCATCTTTGCCTTTATTACTGATGAGCATGCCAGAGGGATGCTGCGCTTTGTGAAGCTTTTTACTGAACTCTCCTTTGCTTCTTTCCAGGTAGCACTCACATTGTGCCCATGTGGATAAGATATTTTTTAACTGCTGTTTGGGGACCTGCTTTCTCTCTCTTTCATTGCATGTTCCCTGTTCTTTATATTTCTCAATTTAGCACTGGATATTAAAAGATTATGTCATTGGAAGGGAGAGTATGAGGAATAATTTTTAATAGGCAGTTTAGATGTTAGTGTTACATACTCTTATTTTCAATGCCTTAAATTTACCACAGTTATCTGGTATTCCTATCCATGTATTAATATCTACTTCCTATGGGACATCTCAAGGCAATAATGAAATTGCCTGTGATTTCCTGTAATTGTATAATGATATTGCTGAAAGCAAATACTGTGCTTTCTCTAGTATTTTTGATACTCCTTGGAAAATCTGTACTGTGAGAAGTAGCTGTCTACAGCTGTAACTGCATGTGGGGAAGGATGTAGGTTTACTGTGATTTTTATTTAGCTGTTGCCTTAGGTAAGGCCATTTCAGAAGAGTCCTTGTCTAAGGGAATTATTATTCTTCTAGTTTCCCTGCTCAACCACACATTCCCTGTTTATCAAGGAGCTCTATTTACAATCACTGTGAATTGTTCACTTACAAAGTGTTTATAACAAGAAACCGGGTAAGGGGAAAGAAATCTTTAGAAATAACAGGATAAAAAAAAAACAAAACAAAACAAAAAACAAACCAGTAATTCCTTTTCCCTAAGATCGTGTGCTTTGAGACATAGTTTGGTCAAACCTCTCCTCTGCCATCAGAGCTGTTGGGGACGACAGGTTGTGTCCATCTTTGTTTTCTCTCACCATGGGACCATGCCAGTGTGGAGCCACTAGCCCTTTTGTTTGGCAAAGCAGGGAAATTGCTCTGCTCTGCTCATTGCTCTTCTGTTTTTTGTTGATTTCAGGGGCTGATGGTTGCAATTCTCTACTGTTTCATCAATAACGAGGTAAGAAAGACACTAGTGTTCCAATTTGCCTTATCAACATCCACTGTAGGAAAAGGAAATTGAAAATGGTCTTGAACTGCTAAATTTTCCTTGTTCAGGGCTTTTACTTTTTTTTACAGAGCCTCCTCTGTACAGCTACACAGGATAACTCCTCAGACAAATGTTGTTGGAAGGAATTCAGGCAGTATAATTTAGGGCCACTACTTGTAGATGTGAAATCTTGCAAGTTGTCTTGCTCTCAATTGTATAGTTTGCACTGCTGGAGCTTTTCTTTTATTAAGAATTATAGCTGCTCTTCTTAATCTGTCTTATAATGCTTCTTATTTGCTTCTTTTGCTGACTGTTGGGGTAGAGCCTGTGTTATTCTGAGAACTCAGCTCAGCTGGCTGGTAAGGCTGGGGAGTCCTCTTGGCTAATGCCCATATAGTTTGCATTTGTTTGGTTTTCCTGTGGTCCAGCTACTTGAAGGCATCATTGCACTCTCATTCAAACTGAACTTCATGGAGTGATGAGGTCTTCCACAGACCCAGAAAAACTGTAGCCAGAGTTTTGAGTTAATTGACTGCAAATAGCACCTTTCATGGCTTCTGCTGAATCCCAGCCCTGCTGGGGGAAAGAGTATTGTTCTGTTTCTGTATTGCAGGAATCTCTCATGTTACTTTCGAAGTGATTGTTATTATTCATTCATTCAGCAAACATGTTTGCCAGGAAATCAAACTAATTTGGCATCACATTATTAGGCTTAATGCACACCAATGTGTTTTACACTCAAGCTAAATCATTACATAGTAATTCAAGATCACCTATTGAGAGATAGGCCTCATCAAGGAATTGGAATCAATGGAAAAATGTTCTACTTGTGTCATTATGGCCATGCTGGAGTCAACAGAAAAGCAGCAGGCATCCTGAATTAAGCCCTGCAGGAGACTGTTCACTTTTGTAGCTTGTGGGTAAGATTTTGTTTCAGTGAACATGTTAATCGTACTGCTTACGAAAGTCAGAGGTGTGTAGCAGCAGGCTTCGCTTAAGAGAATATTTGTTTCAAATCACTTGTACAGCTTTACAGGTCTGAAATGCAGCACTGTCTGCTGGTGCATCATGTAGTTCTTCTGATTCGCTTTGGCCTTTGTTCATACATCCCCTGTGCAGCTGCAGCCAGGCCTCTCGTGAGTAATACCCATTAGTTTCCCCCATGTAATACAAGGGCAAAGTTACATCGTAGCCCAAACCTTATTAATATGCTGAAAACAGTAGGTTTGTTTTATTTGAGGAAACTTACTGTGAAGTAGCCTATTTCTAAGGGGTCCTCCAAATCTCTTTGTAGCTATAGTTCTCTTGCTTTCTTAATGTAATTCCTAAAATCTAACCACAATGTGCTCAGCTTCACAGAGAGCCAACAGACAATATAGAATGAATTATTTTGCTTGTTCCATCCAAATCTTGTTAAAAGGAGGGAGAAAGATTTTGTCAAGCCGTCATCAGCATCCATAAAATAAATCCATGTGAAGAATTTGATTAGGTCAAGTCTTTTCTGTTTCTTTCCTAAATGATATGTGAAATTTTTGGTTTTCAAACTGTTTTTCTTCTGACAAACTATATGTGCCTGAAGCCTATCCTTGTTTGCTATATGGTCTATATTTTTATTTTTGTCTGGGACACTTGCTGACGCCTTTTCTTTTTCTTTTTCCTTAACCATACAGCATGAAAAGTTTTTCGCAAGTCCTGGTGCCAGATTAAAAGTAGAAATGAAGCTACAAGTGATATTAATGTCCTTTTGTAGTATCTACTTATGGAAGAACATTAAAATATGTTCCTATTTAGTCATATTTCACCTGAAGGATTCTGGATTTCCTCTGATATTGCTCAGAAGCAAATGGCAGGGTCTCATCAGATTGCCTGTTACCACCAATGTTCTCTGAAAAATAAGCTGGGCTTGGTATGATCAGGCTTTCTGCAGTTAGTGATGCTTTCTATAAGAAATATTGCAACCAGAAATTATGCTGCTTTCCACCAATATTAGTGTAAGCTGATTAAGGTTTCATTCTAGCCTTGTTTTTCCTTGTTGCCTCTTTCCTTTAAAAGAAGGAAGATTGGGCAGTAATTAAAAAAAAATCCGAAGTCCTGGAGTCAAGACAAAGTCTTTTAAGGTGGAAGGCATCCCCTCCCTCCAGCGTGTCAACTGCACCACACAGCTTGGTGTTATTGGCAAACTTGCTGAGTGGGCAGTCAATCCCACTGTCCACGTATCCTACAAAGATGTTAATCAGCACCAGTCCTAGTATCAATCCCTGAGGAATGCCACTCGTCACTGGGCACCTAGGCAAAATCTCAATTCAACATGGACAGCAGAGCTGCTCTTTACCTTTTTCCTAACCTCTGGAGAGGAAAATAATATTCTGTGATTCAGATCCATTCCTAAAACATCATCTCTGATAGTCTTTCATTCAGGTCTTCCCATTCACTTCATCTTAATCTTGCAGGCTATTTGTATCATAGCTCTAGGATACAGCCTGTCATGTCCTGCCAGATTGAAGACTCATTTCCTCCCTTTGACCGATTCTAAGATACCCATTTCTACTGCTCGTTGACTTATTCTGTCATTAAGTATGTTCATGCTTTCTTTCAAAATCTGCCTGTAAATGTCTAAAACTGCTTTTTCCCAGTGCTGCCTATTAAACTAGCTGTTTTCCATGCCCACAAAAGGTACCAAATACTGGGGTGATAATATGATCAATTCTTCTGCAGACAGTATGGTCCTTGCATTTCATGGTTTCCTTTTCTGTCTTTATCAGGCTGTTCTCCCTCATTCTTCTATGCCAAGCTATTCCAGACACACTGCCATTTTCTAGTGTCTTTGTACAGCTTTTGGCACAACAACCCACAGTTATCATTGTAAAATACAAGCTTCTATCTTTTCCTCTGTCCCATTTGGTTGTGATACTGGAGGAACAGATCCCGTTGTCACAAATGCAGAGATGCAGCTGGTTCCCACCAGGACAGCATTCAGTGCAAGGGCTGTAGCCCAGAGCTGACAAGCACTGCTAGAGGTAACCAGCAAGGGAAGACAAGTGGTTCTGTAAGGCTTTTTTAGGGCTGTCTCCCAGATTCACTATTTCACAATGAACAAGCAAATAAGACAGACGTACAGCAGCTAGTTCCTTAGGAAGTCTCCTGCAGCGTGGGTATGATGACAGACCTGCGCTGGAACTGACATCAACCTATTTAGTTTCTTGGTGGTCAGTACCAGACCCTAAAGGGAAACAAAAAGAGCCACCAGAGAAGGCTCACTTGAGTGACCCACCTATAGTGAACTTATTTTCAGGCTGAAGTACAGATCATAATGAATTTATTACTGTACTTGCCCTCCTGCCTTTTTCTAAATAGAGTAAAAAAAGGTTCAATTTTATGTCCTCTGCCTTATGGGTTAAAAGCTAATGGAGGTTCTTACTTCAGTCAAGTGGTAAGAACTTTGCCAGTGGAACAGGAAGATCTAAATTCTGTTCTTGATTGTGCAGCAATTACAAGACCCTGGATAAATTTCCAAATGAGTACAAAGGCTACAGACTTTAACCCAGAATATGCAGCTGGTTGAGCATATTTTGTAACTTTAAAAAAAGCTATCATCTGGAACAAGATATTGTAATCATTATTTAAAAAGAGAGGGGAAAGTACAGTGTTCAGTGTGCTTAATTGTTGGTTTTTCAATTCTGAATAAATCTTAATTTTCGTATGGAATAAAAAAAAATGTAAATATTCAAAGAACAAAAATAATCCAAGACAAAATGCTGTTTAAATCAAACCAGAAGTTAAAATGGAACCTTAAGAATACCTGTGGTGACAGTATTGAGCAGGAAGACAGTATTTTCAGTCATTTCATGGGTGATAAGCAAAATCAACTTAATTGTTAGCACTGGTAGGGCATAGAGTACATTCAGTATTGCAGCTGAATACAATTTAGAATAAAATAATGAAGATAAGATTTCCTGGTGCATAGAAGAGTTTTATCTCTACAAGTAAAAGTGAATGCTACCATTATTTTAAACATAGAATATCCTACAATGGACTAATGAGATAATTGGATAATTTGAGGCAATAATATTGCAGGTTTAAAGCATTGCCAGCTTTTCTCAGTAGTTTAGTATCTTTATTTTTCCTTGCTCTTTTCTAGTGGAGTCATTTAAAAATCTGATTAGTTCTACACTCATTACTTTTGTTTCCTTCTTTGCTTCTGTTAGGTGCAGATGGAGTTTCGGAAAAGCTGGGAGCGCTGGAGATTGGAACATTTGTATGTCCAGAGAGACAGCAGTATGAAACCTCTGAAGTGTCCAGCCAACAGCATCAGTAGTGGAGGCACAGTAGGCAGTAGTGTCTACGCTGCCACTTGTCAGGCCACATTCAGCTAAGGTTTCTGCAGGTGAATCGGACTGAGAACAATGAACTGTATAATATACCTGAAAATCCTTAAATACCCAAGCAAGTGGCTTAAGTATGCCATCTCCAGCAAGAAACTTAAGCATATGCTGCTCATTGCCTGCAGGCTATTGGACAAAGGTTTCTAGGGAAAGCAATCTGCTAATGTAATCAACGCATCAGAGGAAAAATTTATCACATCTAAAGTAAGTTAAAAGAGTTTCTTCCCATTTGCACACAAGGCCTCCAGGTGTCCAAAACTTAAGCATAGCATTGATCCAGTCTGAAATCACAGGGTCAATGGCTTATTACTGTTGAGTGGGCGAGCTGAGTGATCAACTGATTAAATTACAAGGATACAGAATATGATTATTGCCAAAAAATACATTTAGGATTTTATGGGGATAGGGTAAGGTGCTATCACCAGTTTTAGAAATAAAGAACTTAGTGAGACTCAACTTGTGTTTTAGGAAAGAATCAGTTTTGTAGTAAGAGTTTTCAACAGCTAAAGTTGAAACTGTGCTTACCTGTTTTCGGGGTAGGTGAAGAACAGCATCCTGAAAGTCTGTCAATACAGCAGATAGTGTGGCGTGCATTTCTGAATGCTCTTTTTAAGCTTCACTTGAAAAAAAAAACACAAAACCAAAACCAGCATCTGGTAGGGGCCTCTTCTGCTATTAACAGGTGCATGTTAGCTCTATTGACACGGATGGAAATATCCCACGATTGCACAGCCCTTCTGTTTTCATGTGTTGCTCTGCCTCTGGCACACAGGTGTTAACAGGGACAGGATGATGACTTGAGCCACTTCAAGAGGGCACTTTTCTTCCTGAGCTATGCTCTGCTGCTTGTGGGCGCAAACACACAGACGTCAGCTTGTTGGCCACAGCTGGTCTTACCAGCCCTCACCTATTTGGAGATGATGTGGTAGGTCGCAGCGTGAGCTTGCCTTTGTTTCTCCTCCAGCCTTGGGCGTGTTCTCCAGACAGGAGGTGCCCGCAAGCTGCTGCCCTCAGGGCGGTGGGAAGGCAGCAGGCGCGGGTTCAGCACGGCGGACAGCTCCCGGCCCCCACCTCGGGATGGGCCTCCCCCTTCCTCCTCCTCCACCTGCCTGCCCTCAGCGGGATTAAACCCCCGCACACACACTCCCCAAAACCACCAAAACACCGTCCCAAACTCAACACGCTTTTTCTCTGTCCATTTAAAACTGCCAGGGCTCTTGCAGTGAATGGGGCCACACTGCTAATTATCTGCTAGCCTCCCCGACTTGTTGCTGGGGAAGAACAGAGAGGTACCTTTACGAGCAGGACATGATCCATTGCATCACTTAATAACAAGCTTTACTCAGCTGTTAGCCGCCTCCCTTTACAATACAGAGGCAAGGTGCCAAAGACTAGCTCTGAGAATATCCCTGTCCGTAGCCACCTTGTAGTAACTTCATGGCACAGCAGTTAAGACTACTTAGAGAGGAAAAAAAAAAAAGAAAAAATAAAAATACAAAAAGAAAAAAAAAAAAAAAAAAAAAAAAAAAAAAAAAAAGAAAACCTATTTCAAGTCTCTCTTTAAACTTGCATTCAGACCCCCCATTGTCAAGAAAGTGGGCTGGATATTCTGGGATTAAATTCAGCATCTTTCCTGCCTGAAGCTAGATTGCTTTGCATGGCATTATTTAATCATTGTATTAGAATCCAAATTGCCAACAGGGTGGATTAGTTTTACAGTCATCAGGTGAGAATTGAATTAGAGAGGATGGGTTACCTTCTTCTGCTATAATGCCTTTAATTGAGCTCCAGGGGGGGAAGTCAGACATGTTTGCAGAAATCCACCACAGTTCTCAGGCCGGCTTACATCCATTTAGCGTGCTGGCTTCTACGCGGGCCATTTCCAGGCCACCCCTTCCTAACATCAGTCGCAGAGCTGACCTTGGAAGAAGCACCTCAGGTTCTTCTGTAAATTTAATAACTAGCTTCTATGTTGTGTGACCATTAATACAATACCTGACTATTACATGCGTATGTCAACAGCTGTCCCGCAGCTTAATTAACTTCCTGTACGTAGAGAGCTTGATGTTACCAGTCAAAATCTACCCTTAAGTGCTTTGAATAGGAAAAGACTGATAAAGTTAGTCACTGGCAGGTGAACAGGCAGCATAAGGACAGATGAAATTTACAGCTGTACGATAATGCACATTGGAGGGAATAACTGCACTTGTGAATATTCAAGAGAGGGTGCTAGTTTTCCAGGGCCCTGCTTAGTTGTGAGCAAACCTGGAAACAAAAAGTTTTTGTGCAGTGTTAGCAAGATGATAGTTTTGCTATGACAATAGGAAGTTACAGAGATGTTTTAACTCACCGTTATGCTGGAAAAAGTATACGTAACAAATGAAAGAGGACAGACATAGGAATAACAAGTATTTACACATATAGTCATAAACCTGTACTTAGTTGCTGTCACAAGATTCTTGCGAGAGCGTGATACGCTTTTGAGTTACTAGGCTCTTTTTGCCCCTGCTAGCCACTTAAGAACTGAGGGCTTTGGGCCCACAAGAATAGCTCCAGCACCAGATGTCAAACTTACCTTGGTAACTTCTGCCTTGCTAAAATCCAAGAGAAAAATTAGATGACAAAGTGAAATCTTAGCCAAGCACAGGGTTGTGGTGGAATTTATTAATTTTTTCCCTTGCTGATTAAGCTCTCACTCCTTCAAACCTTTGTAAATCCCCTCTAAGTACTGAGGGAACAGCTTGGTGAAAGTAATTGCCTCCAAGCAGAATAACAGTAATTGTATAGTTTGAGAAATACCTTCAGCAAGGCCTAAACTCCAATTTCTCCATCATACTTTATCTACTTCAGTAAAGCCTTTTACAAGCCTTTGTTGAATTTATAATGTACATTTATTTGAGTAGCATGAAATAAGCAAAGCAACACAAAGCACTGGAACAGACGAACTGTGTGATTTTTTTATTTCTTGTGCCTTTCAGCTTCATGCTCACTTATTGTGGTAAATTGTTTCATGAAGCATTAAATAGAAGAGTCTGTAAATTCACCTGGACATAATGTAACAGGTGAAAACTTCATTTCCAGCATTGCTGCTATAAAGTTTTATAATTTCATGGATGTTACCTTATATTTAATATTTATTTGCATGTATTTCCTTGTTTTAAAGAACACCCACAGAGTCTAACTGTACAAGATGTCAGATTATCAACTCCCCATAAACGTTACAGTTATGTTTATTTTTATCCTTGTGAATAAAGTTTCCACTCACAAAGTTCTGTTACTTACCGGTGTATTTTATTTTAAGTATTACCTGACTCCTCCTTACTCTGTAATTAGAACACTTTCTAAGAATGGAAGGACTCACAGTTCATGGTTCTCCCAAAGAAACATAGCTTTGTATTTGCAACTCTATGCAAATATACTACAAAAAGGCCTTTGAACCTGCAGAGTCTATGTTAAGCAAAACCAAAATGCAGCAAATTCTTTGTATAAATGAGTCAGAAGGAAGCTGTAAGAATAGTGAGAACTCTGATGGGTTTTTACCAGAGGATGGTGGAATACACACAAATCCAAAAATTCTGTGCTTGGCATTTGAAATTTTTAGAAGAGACCAGTACTAGAAGCTAAGAGCGAGCTGTGGAGAGCTACTGAGAGATGCCTAGCAGTTTTAAACATATTATTTGTGCTTTAATCTACTATTCTCTTTCCAGTCCGATTAAATTCAATAAAGGCCACTTCACTTGCCCAGCCAGCTGTTCTTCACTATGATTTAGTATTAATAGTTTGTTTTAATTCAATGATCTCTAGATTAAAAATACCAGTACAAGAAGTACACCTGACAGTCTGTGGGATGATGGCAAGATGCATCACCAGCTGTGCTGTGCTAAAAGGACTGAGCCCAATGACAAGGCAAATCCCCTTCTGCCTGAAGGCCTCTTGTATTTCCATGTCACTCACCCTAAAATTTTGTCAAAATGATGGTTAAAGCACAATGTGTATTACCTGCCAGGAATAATAACAATTTTTTTTTGCTTACGCTGCAAACTCTGAAAGCTGCAATATGAAGCCAACAGGAAGCGGGCATCAAAACTGGCTGCCTGGGCTAGAAGAAACACATGAACGCAAAGAGTAGCAGCGGCCTATTTCAGGTATACAGATAACGCTTCGTGTCTTTTCTTCGGTGAGAGGAGCCCAGCCAGCGCTGGGAGGAAAAGCACGTGTCCTCAGACACCGGCCGTCCCCTCACCCGTGGCAAAGGCCCGCAGCAGCAGCGGCCATTCACCAGCCGACAAGCTGGCACCTACCGCTGCGGACAGGCCGTGTACCGCTCCCCGCTGCTCCGGCCTGCCGGGGGGTTTGCTGCCCGGCCCCCCAGGAAAGGAGACCGAGACCACAGCGCTCGCGTTGCTACGGCTTTAATCAGGACCGGACCGTGCCCGTGGAAACCGGGCCCGGAGTAAGGCGCGAACGGCGTTTGGCACAGAAATAACCCCCTTTCCCTCCTCCTCCTCCTCCCCCAGCCCTTCCTCGGGTCCGTAGTGTGGAGGCGGTGGCCGTGGCCGGGCCGGTGGCTACCTCCCTGCGGCGGGCCGGTAATACAGCTCCCGCTCCAGCTGCTCGGCCGTCAGCGTCCCAGCTATGGCGGTGCAGCCGGGGTTGAAGACGGAGTAGGCGCTGAGCTCTCCCCGCCGCCTCTCGGCGGGGCCGCGGGTGCCGGCGTACATCCAGTAGAGCAGGGAGAGGACGAAGTAGGGCAGCCCCAGCTCCAGCTCCGCGAACAGGGCCAGCAGCACCGCCCACAGCAGCACCTTCAGCAGCAGCGGGCGCGCCCACACCGGAGCCGGAGCCGCCGCCGCTCCGCCGGGACGGGCCTGTGGAGGCAGCAGCGAGACGTGGCGTTCAACGCACGGACCGGCCGCCACGCGCCCGCCTCCGCCCCGCCTCCCCACCTCGGCACTCACCTCAGCGCTGCCGCTCGGGCCGGCGGCCTGCTGTCCCTCGGCGGCCTGAGGAGCCGCGGCCTTTCCTGGCGGCTCGGCGGAACGCGGCGATACAGCGGGGCTGCCACGGGCGGCTCGGAAGCTGGCCAGCCTCCGCTCCACGGCGGCAGACATGGCCACCCCGGCGCCTGCGCGAGAGGAACGGGGCGG